CGACTTGGCGTACAATGCGCTAGCGAATTTCCCTCGAGTTTATTCACCATTAATCGCCAAGTTAGAGTCTATTGTTTGTATCGGTTGTAAAATCGCGATATCCCCTGTTCCGGCGCAGCTCGCTCAACGTGGCGAGTTATCGAAACGCATACCGAATACTCGCGGATAAAAGTTTGCATTTCTGAATAGCAATACCGCGAGCGAAAGTTTTCTCTCTCCGCAGCTCCTTTCTTACCGGAGCACCTACTTGTAAGAATCTTATCGAAGGCGTTACTCCGGAATGAACTAGCGATCGAATCGAGATTTTGGGCGAGGCAAAGAAAGCACATCGAGCGGTCTCGTGGCGCCGGCCGACGAATCCCGGGGATTTGGTTCTTTTACGATAAACGCTGTCCGATAATCCGTTAGAGTAACGACTTCTTCTAGGATCAATGATGACGACGGCTCTATGAGCGATCGTCTCTTTACGAGCTACGGACAACGGGAAATGTATTAAACTTTACTTATTGAATTATTATTAGAAACATTAGTCACGCCAGTTGCTCAAATGTCGCGCACTCAAAGTCCATTTGCTAGTTGGAAACTCGAAATTATCTTTACGATATATTGTTAATCCAATATTAACTTAGAAATTACTAGATGATATAAAGTTATAGTCGCTTCTCGTAAGAGGCACGATTCAATTGGCAGTTAATGTTGATTTATCTTGAATAGGATACTCGAGCACAAGTTTCTTCCTTGATGGACACTTATTTAGAGATCGCAATAATTGGCTTTTTTAATGCTCTGAGATAGAAAATGTCGCGAGGAGAGGTTTCGATGTATTTCTCCGTTTGAAATTCAAGTCGTGAGCCAATCTACTTTTCTCTATTTTCCTTCAACCTAATGACGTTCCTAAACACCGCGCGCGCGCTTATCAACCCTCCAATTTCGACGCCATTACGGTTAACATTGTATTCACGAATGCGTGTATGCAATTCGAAATCGGTTAGGCGCGTTCGAGCGTAATCGCGTGTCTTTGGGAGTAAGCCTTGTGTATCCGTGTGTGTCGTATAGCGTTTCTAAACTCGTATCAAAGAGAAATCCGAACGTTGTAAACTTGTTCGAGCGAGCATTTTATACACGGCGAGGGAAACGCCGCGTCGTTAGCTAAACTTAATCCCGCGACGCAAATATTGAGGCCGAATACAAAATTACGGACCACGACGTAGCGAAGCGGCTGTCGATCTTAAGCGACACCGTTTGAATAAAATATCAATCCCCGAGTAAACGTGAGGGGTCGCAAGGTATCGAATTTTACAATTTACGTCCCGCATACTTAACCGCGGTCCCATGTATAAATTATGGCTAATCATATTAAGCGGTAGCCGACACGGCTTCTCGAAAGGAGCCTCTCCGATCGTATAATTAACGCCCGTAACTTCGACGAGACGATGATGCGATAGACGCGTATCTCCTAGCCGTCGGAACGTGAATTATCTCAGCCCTGAAAGAGACCTTATCGCTCTGGATGCACCGAGAATCAATTTATGGAATCGGAAATAGCGGGGAGAGATACCGACGCTTCTGAAAATCGACGCGATTGTCAGAAAATTGCCGTTTAATGTAGACTACATTTTCTCATTGTCGGTACAACCTATCTGTACCCGAGAAGTAAACCGTCGCAACTAGAAAGTGATCGATTTGAGGTCTTCGTCTCAACTGAACGCTCCAAGGGGTAAACCCAAGAGGGAAACCGCTGAGGGCATTGTGGTGTACAGATTTGCGGCATTACTAGGCATTGCTAGACATTTTTTGGGCATTAGGTCTTGCTGGAGCATGATAAAGATAAACTAAGATAAGATAATAAGATAAAATAATGCCCACTGGGCATTAGTGGGCATTGGTGAACAAGATTTTGGTCAGCGCACCCTCAGAAAGGATTTCTCTTACCTCATTTAGTATAAAAATGAGACAATATCAAAATAAAATCAGTAATTCTTATTCTCCTCTATCGAATTAAAAAAGAATGACTTACTATGTTGAGACAAGAGTAACTTATATAAATGTAACTTTAGATATTCTTGCGTTTAGAATCAATTTTCCCCCCAACTTACAACGCACCAAGTTGGCACCACGATATTCGACAAAAGACGACACGTACTATCATTTTATTCTAGATTTTATAGAATCTTTAAGATTAAATTATTCCTTTCTCTATAAGAAGTATGATTGGCGCTATATCGATCCTATTTTCTGATACATTCAAGTGTAATAGCATTGGTTCTGGAAACTTTTTCTGTGGGTGTGGTTTTCCCTTCGGAACGCTTTAATTGTTTATTTTATCATTTTTTTTATTAAGTGTGTTCACACTTTAGGATATTATAAAAATATAAAAAGCCACTAGTAGAAATACGAATTGTTTTCGACTCTCCTGTATAAATTTGCTAAATGTCAGTTACGACAGTTGATCTCTCGGGTGTAGATAAATTATTTTCGTGGTACAGTTGTTACACATGTGCGTTCGCGTGTGCATCAATTTGCTCGGTCCTTTTCCTCGAGACGCGTGCCATCGGACCGCGATGTGGAACATCTACGTTTTTCAATTTCCTAATGGATACGCGCCGGTAGCTGTACGTTACTCAGCCGCGATCATTCAGCCGGGTTGATTGAAAATTGCGGGCGCAAAGCGTAGCGAGGAATCGATACGTTGACTGAGCCACTCGGTAACACATTACATCCGCCTTTGTAGGCACTACTTACATCGCAGCGGGAATTTTATGACGATATTACAACATGATTAGAATCGACAATTTGGATTTAATGTTGCTATGCGGCGGCGCCATTTTTTTTACATTAAATGATCGAATCTTTTAAACTAGATCCGCGAAACGGAAGAGAAATATTAAAGACGTGTATGTTTATTTTATGAAAAAAAAGATATAAGCGAGAAAGTCAATTTATTTTTAGGAATATTTAGATTCGCTTTTGGCTGCCCATAAAACGTCACTTTATTTGCTTAAAATAAGGATATGGTGTTACGAACGTCACATTATTACACTCTCATGTCATATCTGCGGAGCGAATATACGTGTCAGGCTACGCAAAGTACGACGCTATAGTAGATGATGCATGATAAAGCGCATGAACGCGAGTAAAACGTAAAAGAACGTTGAGGGAGATGTGAATAGTGGTAGCCGGGGTGATGGATTTAATACGCCGCAGTGTATTATTTAATAAAAAGTTACAACCCGTTTACAGAGGAGGCTGTGTGCAATTTTGAAATACACTACGTACGCGAGAAGACAATCAAAATGCAATTATTTTTTAACTATTTCAACATCGCTGTTTATTAATTAGCGAAGACACACAAATGTGCAAAATGAGAATAATAATAATTGAGTCTCCGGGTGTATTAATACGACTGTAGTCGAATTGTTTGACCGAGACACGCCATCTCCCTTTGCCTAAATGCGTCTCTGCATTTATAATCAGCCGATAGCCTACTAAAACGCAAATGCGCCACGATAATTCCATGCGCTGGGCGCGATAATGGAATCGATTGCAATCGAAATGAGTTTAACTACGCTCAACTATGATTAAACGACTCCCCGAGATTCGCTTTAATAAAAGTGACTTGGCTGCAAATGACGCGGCCTCGTAGTAAATAAAATCAGTTGCGCGAGACTTTATGGGACCCGGCGAGAAACCGTGGCAGTAGTTGCGGTCTGATGACAGTCAGACCGGAGAGTGCGGTTGTAAAGGCGTCCTTTCGAACAGGTTGTCTCCGGTACGATATTACGTTGACGATACCGCTGCATCCGCGTTTATAGCTCGCGACTAAATAACACAGCTTGCACCTTGAAGCCGGATTCGAAGATCCTCGCTCTTTTTCGCGAGACACGACGACGCGGTATTTTTCTCAATTCGTAAAGTCGCGCTCGTAAAATTGACGGTTTCACACCGTAATCCTTGAGGCATTTACGAGGTAGCGGATGTAATTATTAAACGCAATAGAAACGAATTGTGCCAATAATAATGAGATATATCAATAGCACGGAAATTCATTTGAAAAACTGGCTCGTGTACATTGTACGTAATTAATAACTGAGCATTATATTACCATATCGAATTAGATTAGTCGAATTTATATAATTCGAAATATAGAATATCCCTGCAAACTTGTCCGCTACGGACGTCCGGTTTGTTATTACAAATCATCGTGTTGAATAAATACAAAACCGTCGGGCGGAGAATTTATGATACTACGTGGAGCGCGTACACGTGCATCGATTCGATCTCGCGCATCGCCTTGACGTTGCAAAAATTTCTCCCAATGTTATCGCAGCACCGCAACAACGTTCGCCGTGTTTGCCCAGCGGTGTTTATCGAATGGAAAAATATGCTCATGGCAATTCCGGTAATGGTCGCGGATTCGCGCGCGCGCGGCGCAGCAGCCGTAAAAGCTACTCCAGCTCGCGAACGAGCATGCCTGTCGAATGTGTACAGCGTTTTTTAAAGCGCGGTGCACATTTCAACCCTACGTTGTTGTATTTCGCCGCAACAACATTCGCCAGGTCATTCTTCGCGCGCATTCTCCCCAGATTTGCACGACCGTCGTTTGTTGATCTACGGATGAATGCGTACGCGTTTTAATTAATCTCACTACCATTCTGTTATAACCCGTTCTTTCTTTATGCGTGACACGCGTGTTTGCTCTTTGTCAGAATTTTTATTGAAATTACACGGTGCATCCGCATGATGCGCCTGTCACATCAAACAGATTTTATTCCACCATTTATTCAGAATTGAATCCAAAGTATCGTGTGCTTTGCGATCGAGTCTCCTTGCGTTAATTTGTTTCGTTTAATAACAGATTTATTTAGAGTATTTATAGATATTTCTGTGTTTTTAGCGTTGATGTAGAGATTTTTTATTTTATCGACGCTTCTTTGATCTCTCGAGGAAACAGTTTAATTGTTGACACGTTGAATAAGTCCGAGTATTCGAATTATTCTTACCGTGCAGCAGCATGAAGAGGATGAAAATGTGGATCATTTTGAAAGGTTTGCATCGACCGGTCCCATTGCCACTATGTTGTAAATCCATTCCCAGTGCTTTCACAGTCCATTGTTTCTGATACATTTCATGTCAGCTGCTTCTTCAAAGCTGCAGCAATCGGCCGGGGGCGACATGTTTTCCTGGTTGACAATAAAAAGGAATTCACTTTGCTCACTGACAGTTGCAACACTTGCCACTTGGCCGCGTTATTTGACGTCAGTCATCGATATCTTGCACTTTTGTATATATTTTGCAAACCAAGAAGCAGGCTTATAAGTCGAATAAAGACTGCGCCTTTGTTCCAAATTCTCGCGGAAAGATCGATTACGGTAAAAGTAGTCGAATCGTAAAATTGACATGACTTGAAAATCTTATATTTTACATTTCACCTCTTAACATAATTAAATTAATCCATGTACGCAAAAGAGATTTTCTGAATATTAAATGCCTGGCACGGGCGTGGAAATTAACGCGAGGAAGCAATCATCGCTGTAATCAGATTAACATCTCATATTATATACAATGATAGACTTGATATTTTCCCGAATTATGCAACGAGTCATCATGCGCGAGTGTACGCAATTACTCGGGAAAGTAATTGCTTGGGCCGCGATTACGATTTCAAGCGCTGTCGGCAAAAAGAGAGGCAGGAGAGTGTTTAATCGCGTCGCGCGTGACGTTCGTTCTATTCGCTGCTGAAAAGTGTACGTGCTATTTGCTTTCGTGTGAATCACGCGAGCGGCGAGATCAACAATATGCGGGCTATATGCGCGACATATGTTATACCGGTGCTCCCCGATAAGTTTACATTAAGTGACGCGCTGCGGAATGGTCGATTGAAAACGAACGTGATATGGTTTCAATTGAATTCGCGCATCTATTACCCGATCGGGTGTTACTGGCCAGCAAATCATAATCGACAGAACTAATTCGGTATGCACACAACACGGCTAGGGATATTAATTTCACTTGTCATTGGATTTCACTGAATGCATCCGTATCTGCACATGCGGGGTAGATACTGCTATAAACTGTTCTTGCTGCAGTGAGGATGAATAGATAGTTTAACCGAAGACTATTGAGCCGTATTGCCAGGCATTGTAGAACTGATACGATCGTTTTGATCGCTTTATCATATTAAATGTAAACTTTATTGAACGACACATCTCGCAGATTGTCGGACGCTGAAGATACTCCAACCATGTGACATTTTGCTTTCAAACGTATGAGCTCGTAATATCGCATGACTTTTTGTTATATTAATAGATTTGAAAAACTCACGTGAGACGGGCTCTTTCGAAGACCTGATAAAATCGAGAGCGTGAAATACGCTTGACAGATATGGCAGAAGGGAATTTTCAGAATAGCGATTTATACATACGCGTGTAGCATTTCCCACGAAATATTCACGAGATATCGACTACGTCGAGGCGGTCACGTGCTCGCTTTTTCGACGATTCATTGTTTTCGATTTTCCTGCGCGCGAAAAATTGGCGCGTGCAACGTCCAGTGCAGCACTGCAAACACTCATGACTAATAAAAATGGCAATTTAACGGCCGGTCTCGCACCTGTCAATTTAATTTATGCGATCGCCTTCTCGCGCTCCAATCTTGAAAATCAGCCGGCACACTCGCTCGTCGCCGCACCATCGAATGCACCGAGTCCGTTAGCGAGAGGAAACATTTCACAAATCTGTCTTCACGTGCAGCGGGCACACACCTTTCCGCCCTTATCACCTGTCATGAATGAACGACGGAGCGACAAGACCCGCGCAATCACAGAGAGAGAGAAGCGTCACTAAATCCTTCCAGCGCAGCTGGTCCGTACTTCCACGTGGTCGACTGCAAGCTCTCGCGCGAGGTGCATCTTCGCGGGGATCCTGTGTCGCCGGTGGGTGACGTACGATCGTTGCGAAAGAGCTAGGTGGGACCGCGCGCCACTTCCGTCCTTCTAAAATGCCGTTCATTCATCATGCCGCACTCACACTAACGCGCCGCGAACACCTTCGCTCACAGCGGAGGGACGCAGAGGGTGTATGCACCCGGTGTCGTATATGCACCGTTGGCGAAAGGGCGGTAGGTGGGGGGCGGGGGAGGGGAGGTACAACGAGAGAGGTCGTGCGAAGAGAGGTCGCGGGGTAGACAGGGGACGACGAAAGGGGGTAGGGAGAGATAGGTGCGTAAAGAGACCGGTGGGCGAAATGCTGCCGTGGTGGAGACCGCGACCCAACTGCGCCAGCGCTTAGCTAGATATCAGCCCCCGACCACCGACGTCAACTCTTACCACCACCCCCCGCTGCGATGCCCAACCATGCCGGCTTTCACCCACCCGCGTGCCACCCCTTGTGCGCGCCGTCATAGTCCCACCGTCGCGTCGCCGGCTGGTTGATTGTGAGGACGGCTGGCATGGTTCGCGCGCGCGATGGCATTTCCATTACTACCGCGGGCCATTGTCATCGATGACTTTTGTGTCGCGCTGCCACGCGCCACGCTATTCTTGTGCTGCAAGGTTATTAAGGTTGTTAGCTGGCTAAAAGCGCGTGTAGGGCTACAAACTCCTGTTATTGCCTGTCTCGAGCTTGCCAATGGCTGTCCGCGATATTTAACGCCGGCGCTAGAAAACGGTATCGACGTTGAAATAAAATTTATTGGCTCGGAAATACTTCGGGCGTCGCAATTTTTCGTGAGCGTAACTTTTTTTTTAACGTCCCGTCATTTTGGCAGGTTTGGCAATATACACCTGCCGGTGATTTGGTGTGCGCTGGTGTCATTTTTACACCAATGTTAACTGTAAAATATGATGCAGTTTTCATAAAACATTATAATCTAACGATATTACATCATTAAAAAATGTAAAGAATTAGACATACGATAAATTATTTTTTTTAATTTATATTATAATATTTTTATCCATTAATATATTACTAAAAGAAAAACGTATCTTCGAAATTGTCATCGATCATTCAAATAGTATTGGCAATTACCTGTATTATCGGAAATTGTTTAAACTCTATATTACACAAAATTTAAGCTTAAACACTATTCTGTATATATTAATATTAGTACGAATTAGTGAAATCAATGGCTTTTAGTCTCTTTAACTTTTTATCTCTTACGAATGAACCAATCGCTGGCGACTGTATATGCATTCATTTTAATACTAAATATTTTCGACCAAGTTATTATGCCTATTATTTTTGTTGCTTAAATAATCTGTCGTTGACTTTAGAAACGTTATTAATTCTATACAAGTGCGACTTTTTACACTAAAATTGTAGTTAGAATTAAATTTCAATTTCCAAATATGAAAAAGTGATGACGACACGTAGGTAATTTTATAAGTTTATGACAGATCGACTGTTTCTCTTCGGAAAATGCAATTTTCTTAAGATAATTACTACTTTTGTTTTTGAGATAATCATTGAGAATCTTGTCTTTTAGCTTGCTTATATATAATAGAGGACAAAGTATCATTATAGTAAGATTCCTTTTGCTGCTACAACAATCACGATGAATATTTTACCGTTCAAATAACGAAGCGGATTGTCTCTTTTTTTCTCGTACCGTATTCGCAATTTATATTGCTGGAAAACTGCAGACTCTTGCAAAGCCAGCGACTTAAAAGTTTTCCCGGTAATTTTCTGAATACCAAATTCTTTCTCATCGATTATCCGCGTTTTATTCAACTTTATTTTCTTGTTGTTTCCACTGGATTTTCCTACGGTCGGACATTTGAAGATGTCTTCGTGTAAAGTGCAGGTTCGCGCTCGAATACCTCGAGGAAAGTAATGTGTTAAAAAAGCATGTCCCTCCCTCAGTATCGTATCGATCATCGATGTCTTAGGGAGTCTCGATTCAGCCGCCCTCGATTCGCGTTCACGGCGCAGTGCACAAGACGTAAACCCGTAAATACCGAGATGTGGGTGAAGGCATTCGAGCGAGGGCACGGAGCAATTTTCGCCGTATCTTGCAATTTTCATGCAGTTGCAAATGGTTGTGTACGGCCCGCCCAGAAGGCGAAGCACGCTTTGCAGGTGTTTGCAACTTGGGCGTGCCGCACGATGATGACCTCGTTAAAACGCCTTTTAATCCCGCATCAAAACCTTCAGCGACTATCTCTCGCGTAAAACAGTTTCCCCGACATATTTTCCTCCCTGTGATAGGCGCAACGATGTTGAGAATACAGATTTTCTGACTTTTAAATAAACAAACGAAACTGAAAAAGGGCAAGGGAAACCAAGAGATTCCGCCATGGAAAGTTTAGTGACTTAGTATTCCATTAAAGTACTTTGAATTTTTAATTATTTACAGTTTCCTGCACGATTTTCACAAAAAGTTTCTTTCATCATACTGAAAATGTGTACGTGAGTCATTTACGTGGTTTCTCGTAATTTTGTCACGGGACAACTAACTCTTTGAATTATCCTCGTCTGTAAACCTTGATATTTGAAAACAATCGCCGCGGTTCCGATACACGAACGCGAGCCTACACCGACTTTGCCAAGGAATCTGATAGCCGTCCTTTCTGCATGCAGAAACAATTAAGCGCATTAGTGTAGTCGCCGCAAATGCTATAGCGAAACTTGGTGGAAGGTTGCCGTCGGAGTGGCCGTCGTCGCGGCGTTAGCTGGCAGTCTTTGTGGCAGTAACTATTTCTAGTTTACACCGACATTCCACTCACGGCTTCAATCTGTGAGCGAGGACCGGAAGGCGGACGGCGCGTTAATGCCTGCGGCTGAAAGGGATACGGATCGCAGATTGCACCCTTCATGACTCGGCACTATCGGCAAGCGTTGGACGAGGGTGCGATATCGCGCGATGCAAATTTGGCATCGCATCCCGTAGCGTTATCGTACCTACGTCTGTAATTTGCGAGAGCGCGATTATTTTGATCTGTATTTGCGCTCTTGACTATTGTTTAACGCAAACTTTGACCGCATGCTGTAGAGTAGATTGAGCAGGGATAATTACGAGGGGGAAATCGCTGACCAAAATGTTAGCATTACTCTATCTTATTATTTTATTTTATCTTATTACATCTTTATAATGCCCCAGCAAGGTCTAATGCTCAAACTAATGTCCAAAAAATGCCCAGTAATGCCGCAAATCTGTATACCACAATGCCCTCGGCAATATAACTATTAACGTTTATTTTTCATTCTGATGATAATATCGACTTAAACTGGAATTTAAAAATCTGATAAATTTTATCAGATAACGAAATTTTTTTCTCCCCTTTTCGGGACCACCGTGTGAAAATGTTTAATATTAAACTTGGAAGAAAAATCTATAATTTCTCCTATAAATCCAAGTACGCCGTTATCATTCTAATTAATTAGTGTTCTCACCGATACTGCGTGCAGCAAATTGAAACTAATCACTGAGTCACGTACTCGCGGATTGATCAAGATCCCGGAGAATTATGTAGGTAGTGAATGGCTTGTAATCTCCCAAGATTATGCCGATATCCCTATCGAGAAACTACGACAGCGGCGGGCTCGCCGAGTAGCTCAGACTCGTTTAAGATTCGATTTTGACGAACCGATGATTTGCTCCGAACATAATAAGTTTGATGTTGTTATGCAAATTTCGCTACACGAGTTCGCAAACAATTAAGTATTTTCGCGCGGCGCGTGAAACGCCTACGTATACCTGCCAATTACGACGCGATGTAATAAGTTCTACGTAGTTTCGGCGTGTCGCCGACGTTTCTGACAAACAACAAGTTTCGGCGGTAGCGCGAGATTCGGATCGATATTAAATAATGTATGTTTGACGAAGACATCGCGCGTACGTTGTTATGCCTCGAAAGAAATTGGGACAAGCTATGCGGAACGTTGTCAAAATTTCAATCAGCTTCCACATTTTATTCCTAATAAAAATACCATCGATAATATCAATTTTATTTTGATATTTTAATTTGATATTTTAATTTGAAATGGAATCGTCAAACAAGTTGCTGTATTCCATATTTTGGGCATTTCTATAATCCATATTAATTTATAAATGTGTCCTGATTAATATAGATTACGGAAAGATGATCTGTCGTAACGGTAAATTATGACCTTATATCGTACAAACAAAGAGCGAGCTACACTTTTAAGCTTCATATTTCACGATTATCATCGCTTGAATCGTATACGTACTTTAGAGAGAGAGAGAGAGATAACTTTCGGTCAAAGTGAATTACTTATGTCGCTCAATATTTGCACGCAGAACGCCTTTTATATGATAGTGAAGAGCGTAATGCGTTGCAGTTGCTATCCCGTCTCATCGGTTTACCCCAAAACGATGTAAAAGTATCGCTCACGCGAGGCTCATTAGCATTTAGAGTGGCGAGAGATTTATTCTCTGGCTGTGACTGCTGGATCACGACACGGCATGCATAGGATTATCTTCGAGGACCTGGACAATAGTGACCTAATCCATTTACAAAGGAAACGAGGTACTTTCAAGGGGGTGATCCTGAGTAGTAGTCTCGTTTCTCTCGCGTCGCGCTGCTTCGGGATTTTACGTTTCAGCGATCGTTTCCGTGCCTCCGAGTCACGTAAGGGCAATGAGATAACGACAAATCTTTTATCTCCGCGATCGGAACTCGATATAATTCCCGCGCGTTTATTTTCCGCACGGACACGCGGTGGAATCACGTTTCGCGCAATTGAATCGCGCGTTGTTAAAAATTGATAACTGGAAACACGTACAAATTACTGTCGTTAAGCTTCACGGTACATTAAGCGATTCGTGGTAACTCGGCCGATTTATTGTCGAATAAAATTGCAGGACCGCCTTTGACATTTCAGTTTCGGGCGTATTATCGTGCACATTCGCAGTTTAGAGCTCCCAAATGCGGCCCGATTTCAACCAATTACTTTCGAAAATGATGGTGTAAATAACTACGAGCGAACGTTTATTACGTTTATCGCCGATCCCAAAGTCAATATTAGTAATGAAGGTGCGTTTAATTTACCCAGCAAGATGATTGGCAATGTAATGTTACAACCGAGGGGGAAACCGCTGCCCAAATTTTCTACACCAAAACTAATGCCCAAAAATGCCCAGTAATGCCGCAATGCTCTCAG